CAGAAAACCTGACCATCTGTACATAATCTGCTCTGTACTAAAACGTTAGTTAACATTGGTCAACCTGAGCAACCTCAATATCATTTTTAAACCACATTTCTAAAATGTCTGCACTTTAAAACATGATTTTTGCAGAGGCAGAATTTTTAGTTTTTATTGAAAGAGAGTTTACAGAAAAAAAGTAGAGCATTCTTTGTCCTGAGAAACATTACTAGACCTGGTGTTGCAGTAGTCCTGTGACACCACTCAAAGCACTGTAAACTCAAACCCTCAAGTCTGTCACTAGTGTGCATAAAAGAGAGAGTGATGAGGATAGGGAGTGAGGGGATGGGGGGTGCAGTGGCGCGGATCACGGCTGGCGTGGCTTCCTTCTCCGGCGAGAAACTACACCACCGCTTCTCGAGACGTGCCAAAGAGCCAGTTGCAGCTTTCTGGAGCGACTGCTTTGTTCATTGCTGCCAAACTTGAGGAAGTCATGCCTCCTCGGGCCCAAGATTTTGCGTACGTTACTGAAGGAGCTTGCACTGAGGACGAAATCCTTCTCCATCAACGCACGATGAATCTGGTAAGTCGAGAATTCTCATCGAAGAAAAGGTACGCTCACGGTATATTCGAATAACCGAAGTGATGTTGGCAAAAGTGTATCTGTGTCAATGTTGAAAATACTGTTGAACTTCGGGAACTCGAACCTCCCTGAGTAGACTTTTTGTCAAGGTCTGGTCTGAATTTCTTTAGAAACAATGCATTATAAAAGCCCCGTAACTTGAAGGCTCTCCTCCACAAACCCGCCCATAAATCAAATTCCTTGGAGGTCTTCTGGTTGTTATTTTATTGAGACGACGAGAAAAGCGATAAAAATGTGACGATGTGTTTTGGAAAGAAGTGAAAGAATAATTGGGCAAATGAACCGTTGCCTCCGAATTATAATTTCATTTACGATTTCCTAAAATTGTCCTTCCTTTCCCCCCGAAAGAAATGTTCGTTTCCCCAACTCTGATTTTTTTGCAGGTCCCTTGAAGAGGTTCTGTTCACTTTAAGTTTAACGCCGAATCTTTAATGGATTATTTTCGATTCATTGTTGAAAAAAATACATATGAGTGTTGAAAAAAGAGTAAACTGTAGTTTGTGCCATTTTTCTTTTCAGAAACTGGGCTTCCCTTTGTACCCTTTGACTGCGAATACTTGGTTGGACCTGTTCTTGCAAATCGGCACATGCAGGAAAGGAAAAGTGGAGGAATTGCCCACGATTCCGAACGCTTTGCCTTCAGATATTGTTGAGCTGAGTCGCTTGATCGAGTTTTCGCTCATGGACCTTCGATGTCATCAGTTTTCCTATCGTCATGTCGCAGCCAGCGCCATTTACTTGCCGAAAAACGCTGAAATGGTCATTCGTGTTTCAGGTACTTCTCAAATCTTTTTTATTTTTTGGAAATACAGTATATAAAATTAGAAGTACTGTATTCAAAAATTTTCAAATGCATGTGAGAAGATCTCAAAATTCAGGTACTTTGCAGTACATGGTTTGAAAAGAAGACAGATTGTCCATCGTTTAACCCAAAAATTTTTTTTTTCGCTTATGTGCGAATTTTTGTTGTACAGTATCTGTGACTCTTTATAAAATGTTCCTTTTCGCATTTTTATTTCAGCCTCTCAAGCGTGAATTGCTTTTCGAATTTGTCTTTCCTGCATTATTGGCATCGCTGCTCTTTTTCCTTGGGACTCGCTTTAAAGTTTATTTGACTTTTTGAGACTCTTTTTTATTTTTGTGCGCTCAAAATATTTCATCGTCGTTTAATTTCCAGGTTTGAAATACGAGGATCTCAAGGAATGCATCACATTCATGGAGCCCTTCTTCGATGTGATTCTTCAAAACGGGCCTGCGAAGTGTCACTTCTTCGAAAATTATCCCCGCAAAACTGCCAATGTCCTTCAGACGAAGAACACCAATTACAACATGGTGGTGAGTTCTTCATCTTCATTTGTCAAATTTTTTCCCTGGAGAATACTGTGGAGAAGTGTGTCTAGGAAATTTTTGTTCAGAGTGATAAATTAAAAAAAAAGTAGCCATGAAGTCTGTTGTCTTTATCTGAAATTTTGGAAATACAATGGCAGTCGAAATTATGTGGTTAAAAATGAAAGTTGTCTTTTCTACTGAGACTTCAGACTAATTTTCACCTGCTGAAGTAAATTACAGTGAGACCCCAAGATGTGGATGTAATTGGTGCATCAAGAGTGTCCCTAAGTCAAAATGTCCCTAGGTCTAGTCTCATTTTCCCTTAGACTTACATTTTATAATTTTTATGGGTGTTCTATGTACAAAATACTCGCTATAATTCCATGAAAATGAAAATTGTCTCCCTATTCAAACTGATTCAATCAATTTATTTCAACGCAATATGGACTTTTGGGGAATTGAATTCTGATACCTGTGTAAAATAGATAGAAATCTTGGCATTCTCTATAATAATAACATTCAAGTGAAAAAGTGAGAAGAAAGTCCCTCTCTGCTGGAGGTAATATTTTTAAATTAGCTAAATGGATGGTAAATTGGTGAGAGAAATGGCCAAAAACTGTTCTTACATCAATTTTAGGGTTGGAAGTATCTGTTTCTTGTAATTTGGCCTGTAATGTATATGTATTTGCAATTTTATAACAAAAAGTCCCTATGTTGGGTGACTGTCCTCATTTATGGCCTATTTTATTAATTTTTTTTGGAAAAGAAGTCTCCCTATTTCTTCGTTTGCAGGTCAAGGTGTCCGCATGTGGGGGTCTCACTGTATTCTTATTTTTGAGAAACCCTTCTTCAAGCCCACCTGTCTAATTTTTTGAAGACATTTCCCTTCCTTGGCTTTGCATAAAAGCGGAAACTTCATTGAGTCTGCAAAAATGTTATGGAAATTTGTTGGTCTTTGGGTCCGAAAAGGTTGGGAACACTGTTGTATAGTATTGTTAAGTACTGTACCGGTTTATTAAATTGTACCGTATTGATTTTTCAGAGACGCGGTGTGGAAGTCGTTGGCTGCCCAAGGTTTCAAGAACTTCGGATACAAGTCGGATACGAAGAAACGAGCTGCAGGCCGTTGAGGCTTTCGACGTGAATAGGACGACATAATTTCAGGTCATGATTTGTAGCCTCGGAAATGTTTTGTATATGCTCTCTGTGTGACTTGAATTTGTACTTATTTAAATGTTTACATGCTTGACTCGTTCAACGATTTTCGTGGCATGATTTTTTTTTTTCTCCGGCGTCTGAGCTCATTTGTAATTGCCGCAGAAAAGCAAAGTGATTTAATCGACTTACGTGATACATTGTTCAAAGAGGGCTCAATTTGCGGTAAAAGTTCGGTGGAGAAGGTTTTGAACTTTTGATCCTTGCTGGCATTCTGAGTTCGTTCTCAGGTTCGAATGTAAGATGATGATGTCGTCTCGTCTCGCGCTGCTGACGGACCAGAAGTTTATTGCTGGAACCGGGGGGTTGCGAAAAAAAAATTAGAAAAGAAAAATGGATCGTATTCTGATGTGAGGAGCCGAAGGACTCGAAGTTCCAGGTGTTCGGACGTGTGCATGGTGACCGGACGTTATGGTACACTTTCCAACTCAACGCCACTGACTTCCACGCTGCCTTCCTAGAGGGATATTTGCTTCCACTCCATCCCTCGAAACATGAGGCAACTAACCAGCTTTTCCTGAATACATTCCCTGACGAATGATGTACGGCACTCGTTCGAAGTTTCCCCGTGCTTCACGAATTTCGAGGCACGGAGAGATCTCGGAACGGGCCGCAAAACCAGTCTGGACGAAAGTGTACTCCTTTTATCAGTATACGGCGATGGACGTTCAACTTGGGTTAGCTTGAACCACCGTGGCTCTGCTTTCGATATTGGAAGAGTGGAAACGAAGGTGACCGTTGTATTTCCACTGTCAACGTTGCTCGGAGAAAAACCCATCTTGTGAGTGGTGGATGGGCATTCTACATTGCTCAATTCCGTCTTCGTCCAATTGTCCTAGGAATTATCAATTCTGTTCGGAACTCGTGCGCAAGTGTTGAAGAATAACATTTTGAAAATGGTGAAGAAACGCGCGTGTGATGGCGAAGTGAAGAAACCAACGCGTTCCCCGGGTGTGATGCGTTTCCACGGCCAAGTGATTGATCAGAAGATGCTGTTGAAATTCGTGTGGGCCTTGCAGACCCGTGGCTATGAGAGACTCGACCAGGTCGGCATTGACCTGGGTTTCAAACCTGGAGAAGCACAGGGGATCCTACAACATTTGGCATCCAGGATCAAGAAGCAAGACTTGAGGAATCGCATGGACGTTTACTCGGTGTCCACGTTCCCAGAGCATTACGACGAGATTTGCGAGATGTTGCATCAGGAACATCTGAAGCGGTCTGGACAAAGTGCTAATTTATCGTCAAATGCTTATGCTGAAGTTCTGGATCTCGCCGCAAAGTGAGTATTGTACTCGGTTTTGGATTCATTTGCGATGAATATTAGATTTTGTTTCATTTCCAAAATTTCTTCATACTTGACTAAATTGAGGTGCATTCATGACCTGTTCCGAACGTGATGTGAACAAATTCAACTTCAGTTGATTACCTGCCCTGTGTTTCGAATTACAGATATGGTCGTTTCCCTGTTCCGAAGGATTGCGGAGGAGTTGACTACAAAGTCATATGCTCCTACCTGGCATCGTGTCTGCGAGGAAATCCACCGCCGGAGTTGAGCATCGAGTCATCATCAGCCCTATTGAAAGCCACCAAGAAAATGCAGAACAGTGCCAACAATGCGTCTGCGTTCAGAGACAATCTCGTGAAAAGAGTTGAAGAAGCGTTGGACAAGTTCCGAGGCGATCAAAATGAGAGACCGTCTGAGGCGGAACAAGACCTTCTCGAACCTGAGCCGGAGTTTTTGGATGCAACTGGTTGTGTTGGAGATGAGGTTCTAGCTGCTCTGGCTGCTTCACCTGGACTGAATCCGTTGCGAATGCCCGTGGAAGAAATCAAACTGTTGTGAAGATCCGTGCCACGTTGTGTTATTGTCGAGAAGGTGAGCCAAAAAATGTTTTTTTGCACTTCCTCCTGTGTGTATTTTCCTTTTTCCGAATTCGAGATGATCTGTGTAAGTTTCCTGCAAGTGAAATGCTCAAATGTCTATGTCTCGTGCTCCAGCGACGAATTTTTCTGGAATCAAAAATTTATCACGAATTAGAAGACCAACTGAGCTTTATGTGACGCGAAATAGTGTTCCTTATGTGTGATTAAACTTTCTCCACAAACTAAGTTGTATGTCCAACGCTGACTTCGTGTGAGGTGTTTTAGATTGACATTCGTCGTGCATTATTAGACCGAATTTCTTCTCCATCTAAAGTCGGTAAAGCATACCTTCATAACTATCATAAGTGAGTGTTCTTTGACGCGGGAATGCAACGTGTTCGTGATAAAAGAGAAAATATGGTGCAGTGAAGCTGTTTCGCAGAACCAGATTTTGGACTGTGAACTTCCCAATGCCTTGAGTACACGGAAAATCAATTGGTGAATCTACCGACTATTGTGCCAGGGAATAACTTAGTGTGTTGAAGGCGGGATTTAGAGTGGGATGTAAGTTTCTACTTTCTGAAGCAGGTGTCGCATGTAGTGTCCGCTTGGCACTCAGATTCACGATTATATGTTCGATCGGCTTTTTGTCAACTAATGTCCTTAACAGTTGTGTGCATTTTTTTTCTTTTTTTTTTTTTTATTCTAATAAAAAAGTTTATGAAAAATTGCGCTCTTTTGAACAAAATTACTTTACTTGACGAAATTGTGTGATCTGTTCTTCAGTAAATGCTAGCAGAGACTATTAAAAGTGGTTGGAATGGAATGCATTGGAAACAGTCAACATTTACAGGGTGCCCCAAACAAAAGTGAGGCAATATTCAAATTACAACATTTTGGTAGAAAATTAAACTGCAACAACAAACCAAAGGGAAGCTTATTTTATTCCCAGTCAAATGATATGTGATTTCATGGTCCCAAGTGGCATGACATGGTCACATGAGCTACTGTATTCAAATGAAAACTTTTGAAATATTGCCACAAAATTTTGTTTGAATGGCTTTTGTGACCATGCACTTGTGATCTTGAAATCACATACAAATACTTTGTTAGGAAATTGAACAAGCTTTCATTTAGTTGTTCTTGTTGTTGTAATAGCTATTGCTGGATGAATCTATGGATTTGTATTAGATTTTTTTTTATAATACCTATTAATGTTGGTAATGTGTTGTTAAAAATTAACAAATTAATCACCTTTTACTTTTAAAGAAAATGAGTTTCATTGAACAAGCTGCTAAATAGGACCCAAAAACCTCTGGACCAATGTGATCCTATTAATTAAAATAAACTGTCTTGGAGAAATTGAATCCAAATGCACAAAAGTGTAAATGGCTCCAGCTTATGATCATTTGCAGTTCAAAATGTGGTCCTCAAAAACCACCTGAAATTTCTTAGAAAAACTCCCATTGTACTTGGGCTTAAAAAAGTCACATGACACTTTTTGAGTGTCAAGAAAGAAACAAATAAACACAGTAGTGATTTACAAGAAAAAAAACACACACACATGAATATATTCCACTGTTCAGGTCACCCAGCCCAAATATGGAGGAAGATGATGCATAATGGAAGATTCACAAGGCTGATCCCAAATGTTGTTCCCTGACTGATTAGCATAACCTAGAAAGGAATGTGACTCAGGACCAGCTGACCCTGCTTTTCATCATCACATGCCTCATGTACAACAATGCATTTCTCAACAAAAGGCAAAGGAAATTTAAAAAAAAGTTCCTGTGTGAATGAATTTTGAAAGGTTTTTTCACAAATCCAAGATTTGTTGTTGCACATCAAGATTGAAACCCACACAAAACTACTTCTGCATTTTCAATCTTCAATGTTTCAGGATTGTACACATTGAAAACACCCATCAAGTCAAATAATGTATATGTCCAAGAGTGAAGTCTCAAAATGCATAATACAGTACAGGAAAAAATTCAGACAGATTCACTTCCACTGTTTTACTCACAACTACACACACAAAATATCCAAAACGCTTTTTGCATATTTGACCTGTTATACTGAAGAATTTTCAAGAAAGTGATGCATGTTTTTAAAACAAACAAAAGACAACCTGTTGGTTCAGCATAGCAAAAAAACTGCTCAACTTTTATTCTAAAGACATATATTCAGTCAAATCAGAAGGACAGCATGTATATTCCATGTTTCCCCAAAACTGTGTCCCAAGCACAAAATAACCCCCTACCAACATTTCAATGAAATTTACAGGAAATATGGTACAATATTGCATTTTGAAAGAATTGAAGTTGGCAACTATTGCCAGGAATTTAACCTGGAAGAAGCTTATCAGCATGAATACTCCATTTTTTTTAAACTTTTGATAGCTATTTGAAATTAGGGAATTTTTTTCTTCAACTCTGTGGAGGATACTTTGAAATTGGGTTGTGATTTCTGAAAAAAAAAATTTATGCAATACCTCCATTTTTACACTTATTTGACATGCTTTTATTCTGTTTTGAAAAAATTTCAGGATTTTTTAAATGCCGAGTTCAGCTTCTTGGAATTCAACATTTCAAAGGTTTTCCCAACATAATTAAGTTTTTTTCTGACTTGAGAATATGAAGAGTGAAATATATATATATATTTTTTTTTTCAATTTGTTTTGGGGAAACAAGGGGTGATTGAAGAACCCAAATAATTGACTTGCATTGGAGGAGACTCGGAAAGTTATCCGCGGGATAAATTATTACGGTTTCAGTTTATCGTCAATGATTATTATTTTTTTCTTAAATAACTTAATCCAAGAATTTGCGTCCCGGATTGCGGCCGAATAAACGCACGCGAATTTCGGGAAGGAGTTGGGAAGTGATCATAGCCAGACGAGACTCGAGTGTGTTGACAATCTTGATCTTGCTATTTGGAATCAGCATTTCCACGCCACCAGCTCTGCAAAAAACAAAAAAAAAGGCAGGAAATGTTAAGTGTAACGTAAAATGCAGTTATAAAGAATTTTTCTTCATGAAGACGCATTTTTTCTGGGTACTACCTGTTGCTACTCAGGAGCAGTGACATGAAAATCTTGTTTTATTGAACCAAATTCCATCTGTGATCTTGTTGTAGTGCGTTTTTGTCTTTTTTATGTGCATGTGTCATGCTGGGAATTTTGGCAACTTTTTCCAAAAAGGGAGAAATCCAACTTTGAGAGGAATCAAAAATCCAATATGAAGTCAGAAATGCTGATATTGTTGTCCTCCTGTTGTTTCAAAGTCTCTCCTGCCTTTATTTGTACAACATTTTGGAATGGCTTATCTTTCAAATTTATTTAAAGAGTATTGATTTTTTCAGAGAACCAAACAGTTGCTTATTGAACAAGTGCTCTTTTTACACATGTATTTTTGTCAGTTTGCACTACAGAAAATGTATGCATGATAGCAGAAGCAAGACAGGTTCAGATTAAGCAAATTTTTTTTGAGAATTTAAATTTTATTCAGTACATGAGAATCCTTCACAAATATTTTGTTGTTTCATTTAGAGTATCAACTATTTTGCACAAAATGGCAGTCCTAAATGCTCCAAGTGACATGATTTTCACAGTCCCAATTTGGACACTGTCTATGGAATTACAGTGAAATTTTGTTACAAGAAACCCATTGGGACTGTAAAATGGCAGTCCTAAATTTTAACCCAATTTGAATGAATGAAAAATTGGTCCCTAAACTTCTGAGACATACTCTCATGAAATAAAATTTTTGGGGTATCAAATTTTTCACAGGTAACTTGGAGTGTGTTGTAACAAGCTTCTACTGTATTTTCAAGTACAGCGGGGTCTTTGCTAACAAACTTCATTGGTTCTTGAACAAAGTTTGTTAGCCACAACAAATTTTCAAGTCTCAAGAAAGTGCAGGAATAACTTTAATTGGTTCAATAACCTTGAAAATGCCCATGAAATTCAATAAAATGCAGCTTTAAAATATTCTCAGGCCTAAAATCCAGTAAATCTTCCCAAGGCAATATGAGAGAAACTCACTGCAGTAAAACAGTCCATTGGAATGAAAACTTTAGAATGAGTTCCTCCAGGGGTTTCTTCTTCAAAATTTCAAATGCAACACCACAAAGTTATTCACAGACCAAGGACTTATGGAACATTTTAATTCTTAAAAGCTGTTGAATTTCAACCCAATTGGAATGAATGAAAAATTGGTTGCTGAACTTCTGAGACATTCTTGGATGAATTGATGAACAAGTTTGAACATGAATCCCTTGATTTTGCTGAAGAAATTTTTTTTTTAATACCCATGAGCATCTGGAGAACTCAGTTTTTTAATCTGAGTCCATGGTGTTTGTTGGCCAAAGCAGCTGAGGCAAAGAGTAAAAGTTGGTCAGCTGAAAAGTTTTGTATACAAAACTTACATATCTTACAATATTCAGATGATCTAAGTGATGAAAAAAAAAGAAGAAAACTTTGTAGAAAAAAAACTGCACTCACACTTGAGGCGACAAGAAATTCTCCTCGTCAATTTTGATCTCGCAACGACGATCCGTGATGTTGGTGTAGTGCTCCAAAGCTCCTTTGACAGCATCCCGGACTAGATGCAAGTCCTCTTTGCGGCACCTGACGACGAGATGCGGCTCGAGCAGCTGGAAAACGCCTTGGGCAATGAGCAATTGCAAGAGTTTGGCGTATTTGTCCGCGCTCTTGGTGACTGTGGTCAGACGACGCCTGGTTTCGTCAATGAGTTTGTCCAACTTTTCCTCTTGCTCTTTCAAGACCTTCAGACGGGCCTGGTTCAACATGTTGGATGCTTGACTGTGTACAAAAAAAAAAAAAAAAAAAAAAAAGAGAAAGAGTGTGAAAGAAAATGAAAAATTAAGAAAGGAAATGCTATCAGTGAGACCTCCAGATGTGGACAGAATTGGTGCATCAAGAGTGTCCCCAAGTTGAGTCTTGTTTTCCCATAGACTTACGTTATATAATTTTTTAATTGGTGTTTCATGGAAGAAATATTCTTCAGAATTCCATGAAAAAAAATTATTTGCCACTAGAATTTGATTCATTGAATACATTTTCAACCCAAGAAGAACATTTGGAGCATTGAATAATATACCGCTGTTTGGTTTATTGAAATGTTGGCATCTGTGAAAATAACATCCAAGTCTCAAAGAGAGAAGGAAGTTCCTCTGAGCCATAGGTAATTTTTTTTTTAATTGGCTGAATGGATGGGAAAAGTGATGGGAGATATACTAAAGAATTTTTCTTGCATATATCTTAGGGTTGGAAAAATCTGTTTCTTGGAATCAAGCCGAATGAAAGCCAATTTTTCCTAAAATCTATTGGCAATTTTATCATGCAATGTCCTCATGTTGGGCCTTTGTTTCTGATTTTTCTATTGAAAAATAAATGTCCTTATGTTGAGGTGTCCGCATGTGGGGGTCTCAATGTAATTTTTGTCAAGACACTGACATCTTTTTCTGCATCTCAACTTGTTTTTCTTTGCGATCAAAGTATTCCATGATTTTGACGCGTTGGGATTGGACAAGTCGTCCCTTTTCAACATTGAACTCTTCCTCGGCTTTTGCATCAACTTCTTCGGCTTTCTCAGTGGCTTCTTGTTCAATGAAGGCCATCATGTGCTTGATCTGAGTGCAAAGAAGCGTCATTTTTCATAGTTCATTTTTTTATTTTTTGAAAATGACAATTTCTTTTCTTTGCATGTCCCTTGGAATTCATTGTACATTACAGTGCAGTGGGGTCTGGGTTTATGAACTTGGTCCATTCCTGAGCAAAGTATGTCAACAAACCCAGTGAGTAAGAAAATTTCCATTATTGTCCAAAATGGACAGCATTTGGACAAAATCGCCTGGATAACTTTTGGACAAAAAAATGGACAGCTTTTCCAATTTTTTTTTATCCAAAAGTCATCCAAAAGACAATTGATTTTTGATGCCTTCTTGATTTTTAAAAAGGGGATAACTTTTTGGAGGGAACTGGGACAACTTTTGGATAAAAATTGGACAATATGTCTGCTTTTTTATCCAAAACTTGTCCCAGTTTCTTCAAAATTTATAATTTTTTTCAAGAATTCAACAATATTGGAATCACAGTTTCCCAGCCCAATATGCACAGAGTTGACTTCTCTGTTTCTATGAATTTATTTTCTAAATGTGCTGATTTTATTCAACTGCATTCATTGGTCCATGTGATGAAAATCCTATTATGTGAAGCCTCTTAATGTAGAAACCTATGTAACTACCATATTTATCAAGGCATATGATTAAAAATGCCTGTGGAACTCTTTTGGATGAGTTTGGATATTTTTTGAAGAACTTCTTGCTCACTGGGAAATAGTCTATTAATTAAATCACAGTTTTCCTTGAGAAAGTTCAGGAATAATTTTAATTGGTTCTAGTAGTGTATTTTGAAAATTTACATGAAAATCAATAAAATGTTTACCTAACATTTTTACTGGACTAAAATCCAAAAACTTTTATTGGACAAATTAGAAGAAAATCTGGAAAAAGTGTCAATAAAGACAGGAGCCTAAGAATGTAAGAAGGATGCCAGGGAGGGTAGGTGGAGTCAAAACTTTCTTTAACAACAACAAAATCATTCAGTAAATGTATTTAGGCCTCTTAGTCAATCATTTTACCCCATGCAATTCCTCTGCATTCCTGTGCACTCTTTTCAGCACTAAGCCCTATTTTTCCAGTTGGAAGCAGATTGAGAGAACTATCAAATCAATTTGCAAAAATGCAACATGAATGTTTAAAAAAAAAAGTTGAAATGATGGAAGAATCACTGTATTTTTGTAATTCCAACCTCATTCCTTCAGAAGAGCAAGAAATATCTACTGGGTAATACATGCTGCAAATTTGAGACCTGGGAATTTTGGAAGGCCAGCCTTTGAACCCCCAAAGTTTGTAAACTGAGTCACAGTTTGTTATCCAAGGCAGTCAACAATGCAAAGTTTGTTGAGCAAATAGTTTGTTAACCAAGACCCCACTGTAATTACATTTCACTGTATTGAAATTTTTTAAATGATCACCTGTTTCTGAACGTCCACATCGCTGAGAGCCATGGTGGAAAGGTAACTGTGAGTATAAATAAATCAATTGACTGAAAAAAAGACAAATTTCAGCAAAAATCTTGCATTTGTTTCAAAATGTTCACTTCATTCACTGGAAAATTAGTCTGGCTCTTTGATGTAAATTTCTAAAATCAATAATCAAATCATTTTTGTAAATTACATAGTTTTTTTCAGTTTTTGTTCATCTCCCATCCTTAATTATGAGTTTATCATAATTAACCGTTTTAATTTTCATGTCTTAATTTTATCTAAAAAATTATTATACAGACACTGGTTTCTTTGGGAAAATCAGTAGAGGTTCATAGAAAATAAAAATCGAATTATGTGTGTTCAGCTGACATTATCACCAGGCATTTTAATATTTTAAAAACCACTTTCTATTGGATCCCCATGTGGAAAGGGATACTTTTTTTTTAAAATTAAGGGTCTTAATTCAAAGGTCTATATAAAATTAAATAATCCATGCTTGGGGTTCTTTCTGGAAATTGGGTAATTTTTCACATTCACTGATGAGAAAAAATCAAATCACATTTGGTTGAATGAAAATTAACCACGGGGAGTTTTGAAATTTATTTTTGAAAAATAAAAACACTTTTTCTGCCAGAATCACTCCTGCAAAAGCAGATTTTTTTTTTTTGCATTGCACAACAATTGGGAGAGCAAAAATATGGGGGAGATCTTGGGACGACCCGTCGGAAACCAAGAAACTTTCTACTGAGCATAATCCCTCTGCTTCAGCTGTCCACTGACTGACCGATGCTCTCATGCATTATGTGCATGAGAAACCCGGGATTTATTTGGCCCCAAGAGACCCATGTGACTTTTCCCCCCAGAACCACGGGACTTTTCCTATGGCAGGGAGACTAGGAAAAGTCACGTGGTTTCTTTTTTTTTTGTCTGGGACAAACAAAGTATTTGAAATTAACTGATGCGTTTATTTTATTTCAATTTTTAAATATTTACAAAATTGAATAAATAAATGGAAATGGTCTTCTGAAGGATTTGCCATCATATCAAGCACAATATAAAACCATGCACTTTTTTTTATAATTTATCAGCAGGAAATTGTAGATTCAATATTCTCCATAATTAAATTGAAGGAATCCTGATTGTAACTTGAATTTTTAAAATTGTTTAAAGACAGGAATTGGTCAACTATGCTTTCTTTTTTAATTTTCTTGTTTCATGAAAAATTCTCAAGGTTCAGTTCAAAACTTGAACTTTGTGCGTTTTTTTGGTCCAACAGATTTTGTGATGTGTAATAATTTTTTATGCAAGTCACGTTTTCCCTCTGTGAAAAAATGTGTTATGCGAATTTCTTCTCCTGTGGGGATTTCATTATGTAAACTTTGCAAATGTTTTGAGCCAAAAAGTCCAAGTTGCCTTATTCAGGGTCTCACTGTATGTGAACAATGGATCAATTGGGAATTTGGATTTGACAAAGTACAGACCCCAAAATACAGACAATTTGACTTGAGGACACTTCGAGAGTTGAAAAATTAGACCCTGCATACAAACACTTCAACACTTCTGGAGGAATTTAAAAATTTATTTTTCAAAATATTGATATCTCTGACAAATTGGGCTATTTGTATTCACAGAAGTAAAAAATGACTTAAATTAAAGAGTCATTCAAATTTATAATTGAAAAAGGTTGATTTTGTGAATTCTTTTTTATTCTCAGTCATCTTTGCACAGTACAATACAGCAATATTTGTACTTTTTATTTGCTTTTTTGGGCCCTCTTAATATATGCCAGAAGATCAGATTCTTTGTGGTTCTCTTCTCAACAGTTATATTCTGTATCTTATAGCTGAAGAAAAAAAAATTTCATTTGCTTTTTGGGGGGATTCATTTCAAAATGTTTATGAACTGGAGATGGCAATTGAATGAATTACAGTTGAACCTCTGTAAGTCAAATACTGTACCTCCCTAACTCAAATTTTTTTTCAAGTCCCCATGTGAATTCCCTTGGAAACAATGCATTAAAAATTTCTCTAACTCAGTCTTTTTCTCCAAAACCTCTGTAAGTTGAATTTTCTGAGCCCTTTTGGTTAC